AGGTGCCTGAAGAACAATCTCCCAGTTAGTCTCCTGCATCTTGATTTCTGCAGGCTCAGCTATTTGTGTAATCCCATGCAAATCAAGAGCAGGCTGGATGGGAGCTCAGTGTAACAAAGGGTCATAGCCTATAAAAGAAGTTAATGATGCAGCTTTCTCTGTTTGTAGGCATGGAACTCTGTCCCACTCCCTTCTTCCATCAACAACATGATTGCTGATGTGTTTTTTGGACATTGCTTCTCTACAGAGGCTGCCATGTGCCAGAGGCTGCTCAGACGCTCCCAGGCCATGGCAGAATTCCACAGCACCTCCTGGCCTCAGGTAAGCAAGGACTGACCCATTCTCTGTAACTGTATCAAAGCCTGACAGCATTCCTCAGTGACCTGCGGCATGAAATGGTCATTCTTTGCCAATGCACAGAGAGGAAGAAGAGCTCTTAAATAAACACTGAAGTCTGCTAAAACCAGCACTCACTTCTGTCCCCTTCTTTCTCAATAATGATCCCACTGCAACCATTCCTGGCTTGCTTTGCCTACGGGCCCACTGAATCTCCTCTAAGAGCTCTCTTCAGAGAGACTGATCTGACTTTACATTGATATTGTTCAGCATCAAGTTTGCCCTGGGGCCAGAATCAGGTTTTTCCTCTTTGCTTGTGTCTTGAAGGGTTTTGTAATAGCCTTGATTTCCTGTGTTAGATTGGGTTGCAAGAACCATCCAGAAAAAACAGGACAAGCTAACATGGTTGTGGCTTTGAGAACTACAGCCAAGTGTTGACTTAAGATTTAGGAGGAAACAGGTCATTTGGGAAAGATTTCACTTAGAAAATGTAAGAAAAACTGTACTCAAGGGCATTTAAATCCCCCAAATCTGAAAGTTACTCGTGGAGAGCAGGCAATCTGGAAAGTTAACTGTATGGTAATGGTCATCCTTCACACACTTCTCTCCAAGATAATTTTTAAATAAATTAAGTGGTCATTCATTTCCTATAGTCAGACAAGTAATACATCTGAATCATAGCCATGGTTAGGTGTGGTTCAGCTGTGAGCATGCAGGCTTTAAATGCATTATGAAGACAAGACATCATGGTGTTCCTTGTGCTTTTATTTCCAGGTGCCGGTCTACAACACTTTCCCATCCCTGCTGAGGCACTGAAGCACTATGTTAATGAGACTGCTGGTGGCACTAACACTTGCAGGATCTATGAACACTTATTAAAGATGAGATCAGGAACCACCAGAAGAGCTGGGTGCCTGCAGAGCCACAGAACTTCATTGATGCATGCCTAGCTCAGATGTTAAAGGTAACAAGTAATTGTCTCTTGTGCAGCTGCAACATATTTAAAATGCTTGTAGTTATTTCCAGATGCACTGCTACTTCCTTCTCCTCCTTTTTCTTCCGAGAGGCTGTTGAGCTCTTTCTTTCTTCGAATTCAACCTCAAAAGCAAAGTACTTTGTGGAGGTACTGAGGATGTTCCTGGGCAGTCACCACAGAGAGAGTAATGCTCCACTCTAGACTGAAAGAATGCTTATTGTATGCTGTCTTCCTCAGTCAGCAAGATTTTTTTTTTTAACAGAACTACATGGCTGCTGTCTTACCAGCTTCATCAACTCAGTATGGGCTCTGTGATGAAAAAAAGCTCTGTTGCTGGAAATTTGCTATGCTATTAAAGCAGTCTTAAATCTCATTATCTGTCCCATATCTGCAGGCAAAGAATGACCCACTCTCCGCATTCAGAGAGACCAACATGGTGCAAGCGATCACATATCTCATTATAGCGGGCTCAGACACCACCACTATCACTTTATGGTGAGCTCTCCATGATGGTATATCTGGAAGTACAAGGTAAGAAATGTGTGTATCGGCACTTATATGTGTGGCTGTCCTTGCTCATGGCAGGGTAATAGGCAAAATGCAGTTGACTCAGCTGCCCTAATCCTGTAGTGTAGGGTGTCTTGGGAATTTTAAATTTCTCCATAGAGTCTACACATCAATGGCCTTCTTGAATACTCTTTATTAGTCCTTTTATTCTGCAGAATGAGTCCAAGAAGAGTTGGATGCTGTCATTGGTCCATCCTGTGGAATTGAATAAAAGGACTGAACAGTCCTGCCATATGCAAATGCAGTTCTATGTGAGATTATGTGTTATAGCAGCATAAGTGCAATAGTGTTTATGTGCACCCAGGATAGCGCACTGCAAAGCTTCACTATCACTAATGTATATTAATGCCACTAAGCTTTGGGGACAATCCTTAGACAAAGCAAAGCCAGGCAATAGATCCCTCTCACTGATTTAAACACCACACATTGTGTTTGTATTTTGTCCCAGGCTGCAAAACTACCCAAAGGTGAGTTTGAACAACTCGTGAGGAACTCTTCACTGTGAATAGGATGCTGGACATTATCTACTTCCTATAATATGAATAAACCTGTACTCAGTTTCCCTCTCCTTTTGCACAGATGTTACTTTCTCTATACAGGATTTCAAGAGTTAGATCAGTATAAAGGCACCAGTATAATGACCGTAGGCTTCTTTTAAACTGGTACAAGCTAAATATAAACCCCACAGAAATTCTGGAAAAACAGTCTGTATATGCAACTTATTGCAGCAGCAGAATACTTTAAATCCATATCCAACTTCATGTAGGTGGTCTTCCCAATGGATAAGACCTATGTAGCTTTGGGGGAAGATATCTATGAGAAAATCAAGATCAAAGTCAGGGGGCTTGATCAGTGTGAAGTCTTCAGTTCAGTGGTGTTTGGGTTTTTTTCCAAAGTTTCTGATTACTGTAATTACTGCATCCTCTGGTGCTCTAAAATCAATCTTTAAGAGTGCCTAACAATTTCTAAATAAGCTATTCTGTAGGAGATAGCACAGCATGACCCTGTTTCTCACCTCATAATAATTAGTTGGCACTTGCACCAGGCAATTTCAAGAGAGCAATTGATATCTTGGCAATTTAAGTCATTAGTTTTTGACACTGTGAAAAAGATCCTTGTGTGTTCATTTTGTCTTTCAGTAGGACACCTTAATTTTCCCCAACATTTTTTCTGTCTTGTATGATCAAGAGCAGTGGGAGAGTCCTTGACAATTTAACCCTGGTCATTTCCTGGACACAGATAGAAACTTTGTGAACAAAGAAGCCTTTATGCTGTTTTCTGCAGGTAAGAGCAATCCTCAGTATGGCATACAGCTGTCCTACAGTGACTGTTTCACAGGGCAAGACTTTCTTAACATGTCATCTCCTGCCACAAGTATCTTTATTCATTTCCATAATAAGGTCTAGGTAGCAAAAAAGTGGAGGTAGTGATTTTGGAGACTTGCTGCAAATTAATTTTCTTGAGAAAAAGAAGTTAAGACTAGCTGGTGTCTGAAATTCTCAATGAAATGAAATGCAGTTGTGATAGTAAGGTAGATTGTCCTGTGGGAAAACAAGGGTTGATTAAAGCTCCTTCAGAAGGCAGGGGATGCAACCCTGTTTGCTAATTAAGAACTGGCTCCTGGAAGGTATTAGAATTCTTATACTAATATTGATATCAGTGGAGACTAAGAGGCCAGCAAAAGCAGCAGCACATTAGGTTTATCTATGAACAGGTCTCCATAGCTATTTGTATAACACATCCTTTCTGAAATATTTTTGTAAACTGCTGGTCTTCAGAGCACATAGTTCCCATTTATGTGTAACGGCAACCAACTAGGAAATGTATGGGGTTTTAAACCATTTCTGCTGGTATTTGTTTCTAAATAATTTTCTATGTCTTCTAAGATTATGAACACAGGTTTGAGCCCATAAAACAACAGGATGGGAGTTCCAGTGGTAAGGATTTGTAGCGTATGACTTGGGAGAGTTCTTTTCCCTGCTCTGCCATACTTCTATGATTTCAGGGATGTTGCTGAAACATCCAGCCTTTGCTTCCAAATAGTAAAATAGGAATAACAGCATTGCATTAGTGTGCTTTGCAAGGTTAAATACACTCAGACACTGTAGTAACAGCAAATATGTAGTACCTTACATGTGTTGAATACCCTTTTTTTCATATTCCTGATATACAGGCTATGATTTTCTCTGACTCTCTCCACATCTCAAGTTGGTGGAGAAACAGAAACTACATTAGTCAGAAATCCATTTACTAAATTCTGCCAGATAGCAGAAATTATTGATCAGAGGTTTGCAAAATACTACGAGAAGATTCTGTGCTCACGGGGTAACCTGGGCATTGTTTCATGAAGTGTGAGAAGATGCTGGAGGAGGGACTATCTCCCCTGCCCTCTGTAAAATGTCTCTTATCATCTACTAATACTGCAGGCGGTGCAGGCTTTTCACTGGTATGGTGTATTTTCCTCTCCTCTCCCCTTCCCTGGACCCTATCCCTGCCTCAGGTAGGGCATGTTAGAGAAATAGCGTCAGCAGCCATGGCAATGAGTTGTAGATCTTGACAGGTCCGTTCACAGGATGGCGTGAAGGACGCCGATGACTGGCCTGTGTGGGGGTCATCCCCCAGCCCCACCTGTACAGGACCTGTGCCATCCCTCACTATACACCGAAGGGAAAGGAAGGGATGGGGCCGGCGGCGGGGCTGGGGGTTGCCTGTCACCACAGGAGGTAAATTGGGCAGACCCTTTAAAGAGTGACTGACTGACTCCTAAAACTGTATCCACCAGAGGCAAATGAACGCTATGAATAAAATTACGAGCAGCTCGAACCCGCTGTCCCTCTCTGTGTCACGCCCACGTCGTGCGAGGTGACGGCTCGACCCCACGCCTCGCCTCACCTCACGGCGGTTTCCCGCCTCACGCCACACCCAACGTGGTGGCTCTGTCCGCACGCCACACTCAAGATGGCGGCTGCCCCGCAGTGGTGGTCCCGACAGCGTCCTCACTCAAATGGCAACCGGGGGCGTTCTTTTTCCCCTTCCCTCCGTTCCTTCCGTCGTGCGCCGTGCTTATGGCGCCGGAGGGGAAGCGCGGGGTGGCTCTGGCCGCGCCGCCGGAAGCGGCGGAAGGCTTTGGAGAGCGGACTCGGCGGAGCGGAAGTCGCTGAGGTGGACGGAGGTGGCGGCAGCGAGCGACGATGAACAACAAATTCGACGCGTGAGTCGGCGGCGCGGCCCTCCCCGACCCCC